TTGGTGGTTGTCAGCTGTGCGACACTGTATGTTGCGCATTCATGAACAAAATCCTTGCTTGTTTCAATGTGTCGCACAGAAACATGTTCCTTCTTCTTCGAACTGATACACAATAATAAAGTCCAGAAGAAACCAGATAAGCAAAACTAAAGGTCTATAAACTATGATCCGTTTTACCTGTATTTTCCCATCTGCCGACCAATGAAGCCCTGAATTGGAACCAAAATGAGCAATCCGCTGAATCCGGCAAAACACGACACGCCCATTTCGTAATAGAGCAGCAACGCAAACCCCAACAACGATAACGGTGCAGCCCAGAAGTAGTGAAGAAAAATGCATGTCTACAAAAGGAAAGACATCACCAAACGATACTCATATACATACGGCAAACATGTGAGCGGTTACCTCATCGAATCGGCCGACGTCGTTTGACAACAGATTGATGATTTTTCCAACCGTAGCGTCCTGGCGAGCGGGGCCACTCAACGAAAGGGCCTGAAAATGTGTCTCTAGAGCAACGGGTGTGAAAACAAGAACCACTAAGAGTGAAAGCTCGATAAGGAAAGAAGAACAGGCTGTAAACCATTATAATTTCGATAACACTTATACTCTGTTGAGAGCGGCAGTTTCACCAGCATCCTTTTTCAACTCAACCGATTGTGTTGCATTAATCCTCGCTACAAGGCCATTAGTCAGGAATACCATAAATGTTTTCAAAGACTATGCCCAGGTCTTGCAGTCACTACAATCTGCAACGACCTGTTTCCTTCCCACTGAATGATAATAATTTATCTACCACAGAAGTAAGAAAGGCGATTAGGTAAAATAGACGACTAATAAGCAATTACCTAGAAGTTCAACTAAACCAAAAATAGGTCACGAATTGAGATAGAAAATCTTCCGGCATACGGGCTTCAGATAAATGCGCAGCCTCAGATATGACGGCCATGCAGCATTACTCTGCTTTAATCGAACTTCTACGCTCTCTGCGGTTGACCTCAGGGTCGCTTATTTATCTGGGATATCTGCAGTCACAAACAAACTGCCTCGGTATATTCAGTGACAGAAATAATGTCACTTTCTAATCTCTCGCGTTCTGACATGCATTTTAACCGACTCTCTTGTGGCAGCCTACCATTTGCAGGTTACCAGTTGAAGACCATTTACACCGTTTATAGTTGAATCGTAAAATGGAGGTTCAGTAGGCACAGTGTAGTTCCGCCTAGTTTATCGCCATCTTCGTTGAAGGCGAAAGATGGTTGACTGTCTGGTCGCCAACGGCTGGTCGGAATTCTGAAGAGTTCGCATGATCTGAGTCAGAGGGGGTGTCGTAGATTTAAGTGCACTGGGAGACTGAGAGGCAACAAACACAAATTCGAAAAGATTCGAAAAATTTCATTCCTTTATCTTTCAGTTCATCTTTTTCAATAGAACATTGCATGAGCATAGCGGCTTACTGTCGTAAAAGCATACAGAAGTCTCGTACATTCTTGA